TATTTGAGGAATGCTTCATATTTTGCTATGCATTGCTATGTGAATACACTAATTTTACTTATACAAATATGTATCAGTTACTATGACGCCTATATGAAATATGATTTTTATAAAATATGAGTTTCATTAACCATATTTATGATTGTCCGAGCTCTCTCCTCTCTAGTTACTAAGGGCAATCAGCTAATTTTGAAAAACTTTTAAGAGTCTCGATAGAGATGCTCTGGAATAGGAAAAAAAATGTAGACCTGAATTCAAGTAAAGGTAAAAACAGGATTTCTTTATTTAATCTAGAATGGAAAATTTACGGTATTTTGGTAAATGCTGTAGTTAGAGGAAAAGAATTTAATTTTTGTTTAGAGATGTGTTTAAAAAAGCCAGATAAAAGCTTCAAAGTGGAAAATAAAGGTTAAATGACGCAATAAAAAGATAAATATAATAAATTCAGTAAGCCAACTTTGATACTTTACTTTCTTCATAAAAACCGTTGTCCTGATCAGCAACCCACGGTTGACTATTGGCGGTATTTTCAGACGGTTTGACTTGCTCGGTAGAATCATCTGAGCTATTAACTAGTGAACCTGACGAGAGCATAATTATATCAGCGGGCCTATCTATTTCGTCTGCTTTGTTGTTAGACTTTTGGAGGGCGATATGATTGAGCGAATCAATCGAAATATTATGGGGAGCGGCATTAGTATTAATAGAATCTGAAACAACATTTGTATTATTAATGGGAGATGCAGCCACTGGTTCAGAGATATTGAAAATTGTGGAAGAGGCCGCTGAGACTGATTCGCTGCTTGAATAAGGTCTTGTTTCATCTGCGAGTGTGGATAAGGCGGACGAAGGTGATTCGGCTACTGCTGCGGCCTGTTTTGAAGGTTTTGGGTAGTAGTAGGGCTCTGTAGTGAAAGCATCGACCAGGCTGAACAGAGATAAAAGAGAGTAGAATAAAGAAAACAAATAATCAAGCAAAAAATATGGAGTGGGCTAAATCCTAAGTTGTAACTTACTGGAAAGAGTGGGGAAAAGATTGAATAAAATGTAAATTTAGATCAATTATTAGATTTTAAGATCAAAATGAGAAAGTAGAGTTAGGAGAAACATTTTAAAATCAAGATACTAGAGTCAATTGCAACATTTAAATATTAAAAGAGCCGTTGTGAGAATAAAAGTGGACTTGAGGATAACTAATACAACAATAATGGAATTATGTATATATAAGCAGAGTTTCGAGACTACCAGTAAATAAGTTATACGATATGTATTCATCCTAGTTCGTTTAAGGTGATGAAGGACTGGCAGTAGAATTTTTCAACAATGATATGAATAGAGCTGACGTTTTCGCTGAATTTCGCACAGCCTTGCTTTTTCAAAAATTGTTCTTATCTAGAGTGATTGCACTTTCGATCTCGCGTAGGTCATATCAATACCCCCAGCGGGAGTCGAACCATGATAGTGCAGCATGTGAGCTTGACATGTTAACGACTCAGCCACATTGCCACGAGTTTCGAGACTGCCAGTAAATCAGTTATATGAGATATATTCACCCTATTTAGTTTAAGGTGATGAAGTACTGGTAGAATTTTCTTACAATCCCACAAAAGAATGCGATATGGAAAAAACCTGGCCTTCCTTGAAGTTCACATCCGCTCTCTGACCCAAAGGCACTCTTGACAATGTGGCTGAGGGGTTAACGTGCTGAGCTTACATACTGCACTATCACGATTCGATTCCCGCTGGGGGTGTTGATGAATTTTTCCACAATGATGTAAGTAGACCTCACGTTTTCAATGAATTTCGCATAGCCTTGGTTCCCAAAAGGTAAATAAGATAAGTGAAAAACATCGATCCTAGTATGTTGGAATATCTTCCCCTTAAAACGAGGAGAATTTCCTTTTATAAGGATCGAGCCGTGTACACAAATACCAAAGAAGAGGCTGCGATATTTAAAACATGACATAAAAGGATGCTGCTAATCTGGGAGCCATATGCTCTTAAAAAGTATCCTAAAATTATTCAGAGCTGTTTGGGTAGCTTTCATTTCATTCGCATAAATCTACAATTATAGCTCCAAGACTCCCCCTACAGCTTCTGATAAAGCCAACTTACGAATCCCTTCCATTCGCCTCTTCAAACGAAATGAAAGTTGCTCCAACATCAAACTCTTAAAGGATTCTTCGAAACCCAGTTTTATATATACCTATTATTCGGAGTATTTTCCTAGGTTCGAATCAGTTATTGTCAACTTAAAATAAAGCTGGGCGATAATCTATTGTGAATTTTTCATTGCTGACTAACGACGCAGAAAAAATAGTTGAAAGCTACTTGGAAGCCACTCAGAGAGAAATTTACATGTTTTTGGTCTCCATGGCCTTGGTCTTTATGCGATCCATAATCGGCATGACATCTTGAGGGCCGTTTTCAGCCTGGGAAGCGTAGTCGCGCAGCACGTATACACCGCTTATGAAACCCAAAGTAAGCAAACCCATAAATATTACAGCAGGAGTATCACCGAATCGATATGGATTACCTCTGCCAGCTGACTGGGAGGAGGACCTGGTGAAGAGTCCAAACTTAGAAAGCTGAGGGGATAATGCAAAGGGAAATTTTAAGGCTAAGTAAGAAAAGGAAATATCGTGATAAATGAAGATGGAAGTAACTTAAAAGTTTGGTTTCAGAAATTGCAGTCAGTTAAGTTTCTTTAGGCGATACAATTTTTCAACCAAGTTTATAAATCAAGGTAAATACAAGAACAGAAGCGAGCATATATACATATATATACATATATGTATGTATGTCAGACATATGGTAGACATAGAAAAGCTCGTGAAGAATGGATTATGTGAACAGATTAAAAGAATGCTGAGCATTTAAAAGGCAATTGTCCTTAAACTTTTAATGAGATTAACAAAGAAATAATCGCGTCGCATATATCCAGATTAAACAAAAATAGCATTCAAGAATTCGCACTCACCGGATCCGAGCCATGCCTTATAGACGGAAGGAAACTTGGGAAACTAAATTTTGGACGGCCAAAGAAAAGCGAACGATGGGCTGCTGGTCCTAAAAATTTGATGCTGGTGGAAGTTGAAACACACTTGATGAAGGAATGTGGTCGCACAGGCCGAATGCAGCAACCAAATCGTCGACTGGCAGAATCAAAAATAGCGGGATACGCCATTAAATAACGAAAGTTGGAGATCTCCCGGTAGGCGGAGGTGGAATTAGTTGCAAGTTTGTTCAAAGCAATATACATTATTCCTGGAGAAAATTAGGAAGAAGATCCCAAATTTGAAAATTAAAAGTGCAAGAGGATGGTTGACACACTTGCCTACATGCTCTGTAAGAAGGGATAAAAAGATTTAAATGACCTTATTTGACACTGGGTGGTGCGCAAATAAGGGTGACGATCTTCAATGCGCCAATGAGATGTATGGTCGGTATTTTATATAAAATGAATAAGTTTTCTTATGCTTATATTTTTTAATTACCTTATTGTCTAAAAGTGGTTCGACCCTATTTTCGCAACTTAGTTATGTTGTGAAGTAGATCTAGGTAAACACACTTTGAATCCTTTGTCATATTAGCCATGCTAATTTCAAACAAGAGACTGTGAACTTGGTACATTTCCAGGCGTTTCGTAGGCATCATCAGTAAGTTTTGCCAATCAGCACAAAGTTACAACTCGCCAAAGAGATATGTAAAAACCATCCATTGTCCAAATTTCTACTGAGAAATTCTAGCATCTACTCTTCTGTTCTGATAGATTCATCTACCCGTACCCTTGTATCCTTTCCTTTCCTTATCACAACCTCTGATTTATATTTCAACATATTCCAAAAATTGCCTTTTTGAAGGGGATTTAGCGAGGCATACTTACGCTTCCTACTGGCTTCCTCTTGACCCCCCTCATCTTGTCGGAAATGTTGACCCGTTTTAGTTCAACCACTAGTCTCCATCGTTTCCCGGATGATCCATATTTTATCTCCATTGTTAATTAATTTCACTCAACTACTGTCACCGCATCAGTATTACTCGAGATGTTATTTTCCAAAATCTTCCTCGAGCATTTCATTACACGTATGCAGTGGCGACAGAAAGCAAGCCTACATTACAAAGCCTACAAAGCAAGCCACACTACATTAAAAAATAAGCACGGTAAAAATTGTGACAGGGAATGCATAAAATGAGGATATAGGAAATGTGAAGAGGCCAGGGCCGAAGGGGAGATACCACAACTGTTTAGCCCACGTTTGGTCAAAGGATGGGCTTCACTTGTCTCTTTGACGAGTTGTAACATGGTGTTACGAATGGCGAGACTCACTGACGATGCTGGCGAAACGTCTGAGAATGTACCACGTCCACGGTCCTACTCTGGAAATGATAATGCACACAATGGACTCTGGACTAGGTGCGTTCCTCGAAGTCTTCCTACCAATATGACCAAGTTACGAAAAAAAGGTCAAACAACTTCTATACAACGAAAGGAGACTGCGGCCACACAAAAGGCCACACCATCTAGGTCTTCATACCTTCGATAAGAAAACTGATTCATGTTACCTAAAATAGCAGCCTTCATCATCCGTTTGCCAGTGAAACAAATATATTTACCTTGATGATAGTGCCAAATGCTTATTTAAAAGTCAAGGCTTTGGTGCCCAAACATAAGTGGGACGATAAAATACTTTGAAAAGCCAAGGTCGTATTGATTTGACGGCTGTCC